TCTACCCATCTTCAAGTTGCCAGGGTTGAGAAACACTGGGTTAGAGGAATGCACTGGGACGCCCAGGTTCAAATCCCTGCTCAATCACAGTTTACATTAATGACATGGGACAAGTCGCTTTCTAAGGCCAATCTACCTCACAGGGTTGTTGTTGGGGGCTTGACTGTCTGGCAGAAAAGCAGCATCTAAATGCAATGGAGAGCCAATAATATAAATAAGGTCCCTGGCCCACAAACACTGGTTTTCTAGCACAATTAGATCCATGGCAGCGAAGCATGCCCCGTTTCATTTATTCACCTCTCACAATCTGAGTAAGCCTCGCCACCCCCAAAGGGATCCCTTGATTTGCAAGCTCCCAACGGCAGTGGAGTCTATGCAACACCGTCAGGCCTCACAGCTTTTGCATCCGCCCCGGCCAGCAAACCCAGGCTGCCCCCTACCCGGCTTCAGCCGAAAACGTGGTTGCTTCTCCCTCAAGACAGATGGCAAGATCAACTTCCTCAAAAGACGAGAGGCCCTGCAGTTTCAGATGTCATCTGATCAGAAGCACTGAAAAAGGTCCCCCCGTCCCAACAAGATGGCACTGAAACTCACAGACGCACACCTCTGTTTGGCCATCTTCTTCTCCTGATGAGGTGGGCTTTCGTTAAGAGCTTTCCTCCCCAGCCCTATTCAAAAAGAGCAAATCAAATTATCCATAGGCACCTCCCCACGATCTCATGCCCCTAGAGGTGTTGGACTACAGATCTCATCATCCCCAGCCAACCAACAGGGTGGCGGGGAGCACTCCGATTTATCAGCTCAATGCATCTGGAGCGCATCAAGCTTGGGGAGGGTGATCTCAGGAAACAATGTGGCACCCTCCAGATGTTTCATCTCCCATTCCTATAACCGCATTAACCATGTTGGCTGGGGCTTAGGGGAGTTGTAATCTAAAGAGTCTGGAGAGAACTAGACTGCCTGGCTTTGATCAGGGACCTGGATGTGGCACTGTTCTGACAACCAAGAGCAAAAGGATTTGGGATTTTTCAGTTTCTGGGAATTAAAGATCATCAGGGTTGGGGAAGAGAAATAGGATGGCAGTTTAGGAAAAATTATGCTTAGCACAGCGGGAAATTTTCTTCCTCTTATAAATCTGGAATCAGCAGGAAGTAGATTTAAGCAGAAAAGAGAAGGAAATGTTTTTAAAAGAAATCAAGTTCTAGGACATTATTTGAAAGGATTAAAGATCAAGATTGTTAAAGTAAAAGAAAGGAATATAAAGCTGGTTTATTTGATCAAAGTTAAAATAGATATTATCTCTGATAACTCTTAATGGACTTTTGCTGATCAGGAGTGAATGGATGAGGTTTTAGGGATTTATTTATAGATAAGAGTTGAAATATGGGAAGAAGAGATCATTTGTTGTATTTTAGGAGAAGGTGATAAGTTACTAAAATTGGTTATACTTGTGATGAAGGGGGAAGTCATTT